TTGTGGAAGACAGTGTGACAATTCCTCCAGGATCAGAATCAGACATACTACTTGACCCAACAATCCCATTACTGAGTATATAACCAAAGGATTATAAATCATTCTACTATAAAGACACATGCACACATATGTTTATTGCAGCACTATTCATGACAGCAAAGACTTGGAATCAACCCAAACACCCATCAACAATAGACTGGATAAAGAAAAATGTGGCACATATACAATATGGAATATTATGCAGCCACAAACAAGGAAGAGTTCATGTTCTTTGCAGGGACATGGATGAAGCTGGAAACCATCATTCTCAGCAAACACAAGAACAGAAGACCAAAGACTACATGTTCTCACTCATAAGTGGGAGTTGAACAATGAGAACACATAGATACAGGGAAGGGAACATCACACACCAGGGCCTGTAGGGAGGTGGGGGTCTAGGGCAGGGATAGCTTTAGGAGAAATACCTAATGCAGATGACAGGTTGATGAGTGCAGCAAACCACTATGGCACATGCATATCTATGTAACAAATCTGCACATTCTGCACATGTACCCCAGAACTTAAAGTATAATAATAATAAAAATTGTAGTAGAGAGTTGGAACTTAGAAATTTTTGAATTGTAATAAAAAAGCATTCCCCTTTAATGCTAATGTTATTCACACACACACACACACACACACACACACACACACACACACCACTCCACCCTATATCCTTATATGTAAATATTCAAAGTCAATAATTTGAAGGTATGCACAGTGATTCTCAACCATGGCTACACGTAAAAGTGACATGAGAAGTTTTAAAAATTCAAATCCATAGGGCCCCATTCCAAATCTATTTAAGCAGCATCTCTACAGCTGGATTTGGAAACTGCAGTCTAAAATAGGAAAGCTTTATATTTGCCTTCCTTCAAAACACACAACACACACACACACACACACACACACACACACACATACACACACAATTTTATGAACAATACTCATTTCTAAGGATTTCATCTTGATTAAGTTCAATTGCCAAGCAGTGCATCACTAAATATGATAGAAGAGAGTTTCAAATCATCCACTGTTGTCCTCAGGGAATTTATATTACACATGTTCTACTAAAGTTTAAAACATTAGTGTTGTTTATTGACTTGTGCTTATGGCAAACATAATGTACATTTTACATAACAAAATGAGAAATATACCCATGGTCTAACACAAACACTATATTGAAGAACAATTCCTAGTTCTTACTGAAGCTTGACAATACAATCAAAATAGACTGCCTGAAGTAAAGAAATGAAGGCCTTAGTCTTTTGTGTCAATTTCAAGAATGATTACCTCTCAAACAACCTTGAACAGACTTATATTTTGATTTTCCTGGCATTGCTGAATTCGAAAGAATTCAGAGAATACTGGTTCTTTCAAGAAGAAAGATTAAATATGGTTCTAAAAACAGTGAATCATTTTTCTTAACAGGAAAAAAGACAATGTTCCTAAAATACTTTTTATGAAAATCATAAATGTCCCAAGATTTTTTCAAGTAAGCCTATTAACACATAGTTCTTCATCTGTTCATTTTTTCTTTTGCATATGCATTTTAAAAATACTCTGCTGAGGATTTCTAGAAATGCTGATTAACTTCAAAGCCTTAACTCCAATAAAATAATTATTCAAAACTGGTCACATTGCATAACAAAGTTTACCTTTCAAAATTATATCTTAGTTATGTCACTTTAGTAGAGTCTTTCTTTGTGTACCTTCTGACAACTCTCTTTCCCACTGCATCCCCAGCTCCTGCACCAACTGTGTTTGGTAGTGACCTCACTTCCAGTTAAGATGTGCAATAGATATCTCACTTATAATCTCCTCTCTATAAACTGAGCTGATAGTAATGAACAACCATTGGGGGTCTGAAATAGAATTTGTAGGAATATTATCTGTAATAAGAAAAAAACTTTCTATCGATGAATGGGTCTACAATTCAGACAGATGAGTAAGAAAGGCCTCCACAGTAAGACTGCTTCCACCCTGAATGTAGGGCCCCACATCCAGGACTCATCATATCTGGCTGCTGGTTAATCTTTAACATATCAGGACTACTCAAGAGAGGATTTAAAAGTTGAAGCAAAGAGCTTCATGGACCCTACTGAGCTTAGAATTTGGAGCTCATCATTATTGTTCAAGTATGTTTACATCTGCCCTGTCATAATTTGCAAGTTTATTCACAAAATTAGGTGAGCCAAGAGCCAGAAGAAAGATCTTGTGATCTCTTACCTATCTATTTTCAATTCTGACAAGCAGATGTTGGAATGTAATAAAATGACATTTACAAGAAGGTACTGGCTTCTGTGGTCTTTGCTCTTCATTCAGTAGCTCATAGCCTCAGGCAATACTTTCTTATTGGGGCTGGGAGGGGGGGGACAAGTTGATGTCCTTAATTTGAGATTCAAATCAAATAAAGTCTTAAAAAAGATTAGTAAGTATAGTTTCACCTAAATTCTTACTGTACAAAGATTCTACTTAGTTTTTATTATTTTATGTAGCTCAGCCTCATTGCAGTCAATGCAAAAGCTGAAGATTACGATGGATGGTCCACAGTGGAAAAGTCACTAAGCTAAATTAGAATTAACAGAAATAAAAATGGTGATTTAGTCTTATTAAGGACATACTCATTTGAAGCATGTGTTTTGTAATTTCTTTCTGTATAAAGAAAGTATTTGTTAAAAGTGACATTTATGCAAATAAATATTAAAATGATAATTAAAATATGGATTATCTGTAAGATTGGTTTTGTTGATAATATTAATAAGATCAGCTGATTTGTAAGCCAAGGTATCACCATTTGCCCCATACACAAGGAGAAAAATGAGGAAACTCCAATGAATTGAAGATACACCTGAATTAATCTACTAATACTAGGTGCTTTCAGTCTTGAATGAGAATATGAGGACTATTTCTTACATGTTATGTAACTCTAACATCATCAATCAAGTCTCAGAATTCCACTTATAATTGTAACATGGTGTCCTGTGAAACTAAATTGGGAAAGGAAGGATCACCTGCTAGGAGCAACCTGAAAAGAGTCCCAAACAGTTCGGAAGTCAGCAGACTTAATGTTAGCACTCTCTGGAGATAATCACATCCTGGGCACAAACCTATGGACTTCTGGTACATATTTCCAGTGTTGAGAAACACATACTTAGCTGGATGCCAGTATGAATTTCCAATCTCTCTACTGCTGACTCAATTTGTTCCACCATCTTTGTTCACTAGATAAGATTGGGATTAAATTTTTTCTTCCTCTGTAGCTATTCCTATGAGTTTGAATATTACAGTCTGCATCTTTCATTTGTTCATTATAAGTCAATTATTTGTTCATTGTAAGTCAATAAATCAGTATAATGATTTATATATCATTTTCATGTGGGAATTAATATGAGTTAGATTCACTCTCTAACAACATGAATTCTCTAAACTTGCAAATCCAAGGCCCTATACCATGTTAATTTCACCAAGAGCGAGGCCATGTTGGAAGGACCCCCATCTCCCACCCGTAACTCCGCTTCTGTATACATCTATAAAAGTTTAGCAGGTAGACACATGACAGCTTCACTAAGCATACACAGCACTTGGCACCTGGCATGTATTATGTATGTATTTAATTAAGAGCATGGTAGTGTTCTTGCCCAGATTTGTAATTGTAAAAGGCAAGTGGAAGTTGTAGGCAAATATCTGCTCAGACAAATTATGATTCATAAGCAGGTATCCACAAAACCAAAGCATATAAAAGATAAAAAAGTTGTAGAAATGACTTTGCAGTAAGCACAATCAGATATGAACTGAGCAAAGGTTATGGGAATTAATACTCTTTAATAAGAATATTCAAATTGTTGCTTAAAGAAATATTAATATCATTTTGTTGTTGTTGCTGTTGATTTTTGAGACAGAGTTTTACTCTTGTTAACTAGGCTGGAGTGCAATGGTGCAATCTCAGCTCACTGCAACCTCTGCCTCCCTGGTTCAAGTAATTCTCCTGCCTCAGCCTTCCTAGTAGCTAGGATTACAGGCGCCCACTACCAAACCTGGCAAATTTTTGTATTTTTAGTAGAGATGGGGTTTCACCATGTTGGCCAGGCTGGTCTCAATCTCCTGACTCAGGTGATCTGCCCACCTCGGCCTCCCAGGTGCTGGGATTACAGGCATGAGACACAGCACCTGGCCTAATTGTTTAATTATAGGGTAAGCTCCTTCTAGGGACACTGCATAATATGCTACACTATCTTTCTAAAACACGTATTTTTAAAAACCTAAATTTGTAAATGTATCCAGTCCCTAGGATTTCACGTAAAAGACAGTGAGCCTGAACTCCTTCCTTTCTGTAATATAAGACGAAAATTTATCGATGTCTTATTTACATATGTTTGTAAAAATACCAAAGTATTTTAACAATATGGGACAATTATTTGGGAGAAAAATAATGTAGAAGAGAGAGCAAAGGCACTGAATCAGAGATGACAGCAAATCCTGGCTTCAATGTCAACTAAATACGTGAAACTTGCCAAATGGCCTTTCTAATCCTGTTTTTTTTTCATCTAGTAAAAGAGTTTTTTGGAGGTTTAAATGAGATAATATAGGAGATAAGATATGATATTTAAAAAGGTAATCGTAGTGATAGATTGAGGCACATTTATTCTTGTCAATATAATATTGATCACTAAACCTAATGTACAGCATGCTAACATTTCTGACCTCTTTTCATGCAACAAAGGAAATGTTGGTTTTCATATCTGAGGGTTTACAGCTTTAGTATTTCAAACATTAAAAGTTCTGATACAGAACAAAACAAATATACATTGAATCATATTCCAAACCCGTGAGATTATTCATATTGTTTTATAAGTTAAATGAACAATTTGAATTATCACATTGGATAACCAGTAGTTTTAATCATTTACTAGTAAGTACGTATCACTTATTTCATGCTAAATGACTGTAGGTGTCTTTACCTGAAAAGAGTAGGTATGACCATCTGAACCACAAACAGGGCTGGGATAGCCCAGTGGGCACTGCTTGCAGGTGGATGATATGGAACCCCTCCACTGCCTATGGCCTACTCCTGCTTCTTTCATCCTGTTAAAAAAGTAAAGCAAGCATATTGAGTATATTTATTTAAAAATTTACTTTTATATTAGCTCATTCCTCTTCTCCACTGCCATTCCAACTGCTGAAGATACATTAGAATCAATAAACTATTTTCATTTTCAATTATCATTTCATGCCATTTTTTCATTATAATCTTTTGATTCATATCTCAACACTTGCCTCTAATAAAACAAGAATATATTCCTTAAATATATTCTGCTAGTCACATATAAATGATAGTGATATTTCTTCATGTGAACCCTTTTGATAGCCCCAGAAACAGAAGCAACACTTGCTCAGCAATCCAGGACTCATACGTCTGGCACCTTCGTAAAAGCTGTCCTCACATTCTGTTAGGAACAATGTAAAACGAAACACACCTAACTCACTGGGTGCCTAAAAATAAGAGTGGCTTATACCATGGAATGCTATGCAGCCTTAAAAAAGAATGAGTTTAAGTTATTTCAGGGACATGGGTGAAGTCGGAAATCTTCATTAGCAGCCAACTAACACCGGAACAGAAAACCAAACACTGCATATTGTCACTCATAAGCGGGTGTTGAACAAATGAGAACACATGGACACAGGGAGGGAACATCACACACCGGGGCCTGTCAGGGGAGAGATAGCAGGGGGTGGGAGGCTAGGGGAGGGAAAAATTAGGAGAAATACCTCATGTAGGTGACAGGGTGATGGATGCAGCAAACCACCATGGCATGTGTACACCTACGTAAAAAACCTGCAAGTTCTGTACATGTACCCCGAAACTTAGAGTATAATTAAAAAACAAACAAAAGGGTCATTCTCACATTCCATTAGGAACAATATTTTTTTAAAAAACAACACTTAATTCACTGGGTGCCTAAAAATAAAAGTGGCTTACCTTTAGAGAAAACAAATAAAGAATTAGAATTTTACAATATTCACCAGTATTTAGAAAGCCAAATTACTAGTAGTGAATCTCCTTTTAGAGTGTAAAAGTGTCTTATAATAGATCTATGCAGCTTCGATATAGAATAACTTGGAAAAAATCCATTATTTTCTGCTACCTAAACTTACAGTTATTTGTTTCTCCACTTTGAGTAAATTGCTTTATTCCTTTGCCTACTTGTGTGAACAATTTATACAGAGACAGGAAAATGGCTCAAAAATTAGAAAACAAGTAACTGAGAATTCATACAAAACATTTAATATTTAAAAGTCCTGTAGTTAATCAATATCCATTTATTAAAAGTGCTTGTGGAGAGAGTAATATGATGCCTATCTCAAAATAAGAACAGATATTTTACTATAAACTTATTTTTCCTTAGCTTTTTGTTTTCTTTTTATGAATATATCATACCTACAAAATATTGGTCCCAACAGACTATCAAGACACATTTTAAAAACTTTCATTATAAGAAAGAAGTTTGAACTATGTGTTTCAAATTTTGCAAAAATCAGAGTGGCCATTAGACATTGATTATTCCCTCTCTCTCTTTTCCTCTCTCTTAGAACAAGATTTTCATGAAGCCTATCATAGTTTCAAATATGTTCTCCTTATTTCAGTTTTGTACATTCTGCCAAAAGATCACATTAAAACCTTGGCTTGCTATATAATTCATCTTATAAAAGACACAATAGGAGAAAATAAACATGCAATTTTTTTTTTCTGAAAAACAGTTGGCACAAGATCTTAGTGAGAAATAAAACAATGACTGAAAAACTTGTCTTATTCTATAGCACTTAAAGGTTTGTAAATTACAAAAATGCAGCAGAGGGAAATTAAAAGAAAAAAATTAAAACATTCTCCTTGCACTGAATTTTAACTGTGTGTAATCAAATAAGACAGGAAATTATGCAAAATTATTTGCTCTTCAGATATATGAGGAGACAGTATAAGCAAGTTTGGGCTTTAATTCAGTGAAAAGTATTTTATTAGAACAAAATGGGATTGCAATAAAAAAAAATAGGATGTGTATGTCCTGTGCTTAGGTTTATATACAAACTCTTTTTTTCTTCATGTTATTCTCCTTTCTTTTTTTGTCATTATTATATGGCATATTTACATTTAATGTTTTTTCTTTTTATTTATTTCTTATTTATTTAATTGCATTTTAGGTTTTGGGGTACATGTGAAAAACATGCAAGATTGTTGCATAGGTACACACATGGCAGTGTGATTTGCTGCCTTTCTCCGCCTTCCCTATATCTGTCATTTCTCCCCATGCTATCTCTTCCCACCTCCCCAACCCCTCGTCCCTCCCCCATTTCCCCACAATGGACCCCAGTGTGTAGTGCTCCCCTCCCCATGTTCATGTGTTCTCATTGTTCGACATGCACCTATGAGTGAGAATATGCGGTGTTTGATTTTCTGCTCCTGTGTCAGTTTGTTGAGAATGATGGTTTCCAGGTTCATCCATGTCCCTACAAAGGACACAAACTCATCGTTTTTGATAGCTCTGTAATATTCCATGGTGCATATGTACCACATTTCCCTGTCCAGTCTATCATCGATGGGCATTTGGGTTGGTTCCAGGTCTTTGCTATTGTAAACAGTGCTGCAATGACCATTCGTGTGCAGGTGTCCTTATAGTAGAATGATTTATAATCCTTTGGATATATACCCAGTAATGGGATTGCTGGGTCAAATGGGATTTCTATTTTTAGGTCCTTGAGGAATCGCCACACTGTCTTCCACAATGGTTGAATTAATTTACATTCCCACCAACAGTGTAAAAGTGTTCCTATTTCTCCACATCCTCTCCAGCATCTGTTGTTTCCCGATTTTTTTAATGATCGCCATTCTAAGTGGTGTGAGATGGTATCTCAATGCAGTTTTGATTTGCATTTCTCTAATGACCAGTGATGATGAGCACTTTTTCATATGTTTGTTGGCCTCCTGTATGTCTTCTTTTGTAAAGTGTCTATTCATATCCTTCGCCCACATTTGAATGGACTTGTTTGTTTTTTTCTTGTAGATCTGTTTTAGTTCTTTGTAAATTCTGGATATCAGCCCCTTGTCAGATGGGTAGACTGCAAAAATTACTTCCCATTCTGTTGGTTGCCAATTCACTCTAATGACTGTTTCTTTTGCCGTGCAGAAGCTGTGGAGTTTGATTAGGTCCCATTTGTCTATTTTGGCTTTTGTTGCCAATGCTTTTGGTGTTTTGGTCATGAAATCCTTGCCTATGCCTATGTCCTGAATGGTTTTGCCTAGATTTTCCTCTGGGGTTTTTATGGTGTTAGGTCTTATGTTTAAGGCTTTAATCCATCTGGAGTTAATTTTAGTGTAAGGTGTCAGGAAGGGGTCCAGTTTCTGTTTTCTGCACATGGCTGGCCAGTTTTCCCAAAATCATTTATTAAACAGGGAATCCTTTCCCCATTGCTTGTTTTTTGAGGTTTGTCAAAGATCGGATGGTTGTAGATATGTTGTGTATCCTCCGAGGCCTCTGTTCTGTTCCAATGGTCCATATCTCTGTTTTGGTACCAGTACCATGCTGTTTTGGTACCAATACCATGCTGTTTTGATTACTGTAGCCTTGTAGTATAGTTTGAAGTCCTGGTAGTGTGATGGCCTTCCTGCTTTGTTCTTTTTGCTTAGAATTGACTTGGCTATGCAGGGCTCTCTTTTGGTTCCATATGAAGTTTAAGGTGGTTTTTTTCCAGTTCTGTGAAGAAGGTCATTGGTAGCTTGATGGGAATAGCGTTGAATCTGTAAATTACTTTGGGCAGTATGGCCATTTTCACGATGTTGATTCTTCCTAACCATGAACATGGAATGTTTCTCCATCTGTTTGTGTCCTCTCATATTTCATTGAGGAATGGCTTGTAGTTCTCCTTGAAGAGGTCCTTTACATCCTCTGATAGTTGTATTCCTAGGTATTTTATTCTCTTTGTAGCAATTGTGAATGGCAGTTCGTTCTTGATTTGGCTCTCTTTAAGTCTGTTACTGGTGTATAGGAATGCTTGTGATTTTTGCACGTTGATTTTGTATCCTGAGACTTTGCTGAAGTTGTTTATCAGTTTCAGGAGATTTTGGGCTGAGATGATGGGGTCTTCTAGATATACAATCATGCCATCTGCAAATAGAGACAATTTGATTTCCTCCTTTCCAATTTGAATACCTTTTATTTCTTTTTCTTGCCTGATTGCTCTGGCTAGAACTTCCTGTACTATATTGAATAGGAGTGGTGAGAGAGGGCATCCTTGTCTAGTGCCAGATTTCAAAGGGAATGCTTCCAGTTTTTCTCCATTCTGTATGATATTGGCTGTTGGTTTGTCATAAATAGCTTTTATTATTTTGAGATACATTCAGTTAAGACCTAGTTTATTGAGAGTTTTTAGCATAAAGGACTGTTGAATTTTGTCAAAGGCCTTCTCTGCATCAATTGAGAAAATTATGTGGTTTTTGTCTTTGTTTCTGTTTATGTGGTGAATTACGTTTATGGATTTGTGTATGTTGAACCAGCCTTGCATCCCCGGGATGAATCCTACTTGATCATGGTGGATAAGCTTTTTGATGTGCTGTTGCAATAGGCTTGTCAGTATTTTATTGAAGATTTTTGCATCTATGTTCATCATGGATATTGGCATGAAGTTTTCTTTTCTTGTTGAGTCTCTGCCGGGTTTTGGTATCAGGATGATGCTGGTCTCATAAAATGATATGGGAAGGATTCCCTCTTTTTGGATTATCTGGAATAGTTTCAGAAAAAATGGTACCAGCTCCTCTTTGTATGTCTGGTAGAATTCGGCTGTGAAACCTTCTGGACCTGGGCTTTTTTTTTTGGGTGGTAGGCTCTTAATTGCTGCCTCAACTTCAGACCTTGTTATTGGTCTATTCAGAGTTTTGACATCTTCCTGGTTTAGGCTTGGGAGAGTGCAACTGTCCAGTAATTTATCCATTTCTTCCAGGTTTACTAGTTTATGTGCATACAGTTGTTTGTAATAATCTCTGATGTTGGTTTGGATTTCTGTGGAATCTGTTGTGATATCCCGTTTATCGTTAT